CAGAGAGAAGAAGCCGCGTGGAGGACGCTTCGTTCCTTTATTCGGCGATGAACACAGCACACGGACGCGCGCACAGGATCGCGGGAGGAGGCATTCAGCGCGAATTGTAAGAGATGCGGCCGCGGGGAGAGGGGTGGGGAGGGGAGATCGCATCGTGGATCGCGAATAAAAAAGTAATATCGACGAACGTTGTTCGCGCGCGAGCGACTCTCGCGATTCTCTCGAAGACCTGCCGCGCGCTCGCTCGCTCGCTCGCTCATCCGCTCGTCCGCTCATTCGCCCGCTCACTTCATCATAATTAATCAAAGCGCGGATCTGGAGGATCCAATTAGCGCGGGCGCGTTCTATTCGAGGCTGCCTCGAGAGCTGCCGCGGCCAACGGGAGGTACGAATAATAGGAATAGGATGCATTAAAGTTCAACCGAAAGGCACTAGTCGCGCGGATACAACCCCCGATGGCCGTAAGCGGCTTTCACAGCCGTCACTGTGCGTGCCCGCTGTCGTTATCGCATCGTTCCGATGACGGTACCCTTCTCCCCCCTATCCCCGCCGTCGTCCCGTTTTTTCGACGCCGTCTCGTCGCGACGCGCTAATGACCGCTAACGCATAACTCGATCTTTCAAACCGAAAAGGACTAAAATGGGATTCGTTACGTTGATGGGTGATCATCGTTTTACGAGATGTTTTATGATCACACTCGAACACGCGGCCATGTAATATGACATAATGTAAGTTGGTTACGATGGGTCATTTTATCAAGTTTTCCCCCGACTTCGAACGCGAGCAGACGAACGTTAACGGCATGCGAAGCGGCATCGCGCGACTGTGCGAAAAGAAATTAAGCACGATGAAGTATCACGTAGAGGCGTTCATCGAGTCTTCTTGGATTATTTTCTCGCTTACGAGAGCTTATTACTCGCGTGAATTCGCCCACGAAGGAGTAAGAAGATCCGTGTCATTAAAACGCAAAGATACGCAAAGTCATTAAACAGTAAAGAGTCGTGATTTCTTTCGCGTGCCGGGGATGATACGTGCTCGCGGTGAAACCGGCCGGGGACTGAAGTACAAAATTATGGGCACCGCGACTGCGACGGTAATTGTGCATGCTTCGCCATCGACGAGCATGATCGGCGGAAAGAATGACGAAACTTGCACCGTGCGACAAATCGCGTCGCGCTGCTTTATGACACGCAAGTAGAAACGTAATTAGCATGATACTGCTCGCACGGTTATTACCTCGAAGTCACGCAGCTGTCATACGTTAGAAACTTGTTGTGTGTTTACAGCGCGCGCGCGCGCGCGAGCGTGTGTGTGTGTGTGTGTGTGTGTGTGTCACGTGTACGTGTCTCTTGACGGTTATCCGAGAGAGAACACGTTGTGTGCTCCGCACGTTGAATTTCGCGCTTGTTACGCGACCTCCTTAATTAGACCGATCCCATTTATTTCGCATGCTCGGGCTAAAAGCGACGCGCTTATTTCCTTCCTTCTTTCCCTTTTCCCTCGCTTCTTATCCCAGACACGATGTAATCTCATAGAATTAAAAAATGCACGTGTAACCGTAGAGCCGCCGCTCGCGTGGGAACGCAGACGGAGGGTCGTACGGACGGACCACGTCGGATCACGTCACGACGACGCGGAGTTACGCGATTTTCCTATGCGATAAAAAGGCCGTGCGTATGCCGATCGAAGGTTAAAGATCGATGAAAATTTTACGCAGCACGATTTATGAGATTATATATATGCGCGTCGTAAAAACGTCGCGACTACCATCTGTTACCGTCCGCACGATCTCGCCGGTCCATGAACGTTAGAGGAGCGCAAGAGGAACGCAAGACGCGGGGCATGAAACTTACGGTAAATGGCCAATGTTGAGCGAAACGTCCGGCGGAATATCGCCGGGGCCGATTGCGATTGCACCGCTGCCGCGGGCATCGGTCGCTGCTGTCGCGGCTTGATTGCTAATTAAAATTTTACGCGTCGCCTTTCGATGGCGCACGCACATGCGTATCACGAGTGGGAAAGACCGTAATACGTCGCGCGGAAAAAGCGCACCTAAATATGCGCGATATTTATGCGATCGAGGCAATATCGTAATACAAAGCGAGCGGGCGCTCGCGATGCCAATGTCGATAGTAAATCCATACGTTCGGCAATATCTGCCCCGCTCGCCGCCAGGGGCTTGCCGCCGGGCGTTTACGGTTTTAATTTCGCTCCGGTTACGCAAGAGATCGCCGCGGATACATAAATCGACGGCGGGAAATCGCTAAATCGGTAGCGCCGGCGATCGCCGCCGCGTTCCATTTCTCTCCCGCGTATACCCGCGCGCGATCGCGCGCGCGTGTTACAGATATTTCGATCTGGCGCTCTCGGGAATGAGAGAGAGAGAGAGAGAGAGAGAGAGAGAGAGAAGCAGGAAGGGGGGAGGCGGTAGATGGAACAGAGAGAAAGAGCTACCGCCGTTCGCTGGACGCATAATAATGAAACAAAAGTCAACACATCATATTTCTACCAGTATGATTCGTTTATTGTGGATCGTTGAATCGAACGGAGTGGTCCAGGTCGCAAAAAGAGGATGGAAAAACAAGGGGAAGAGAGAAGTTCGTGCGGTACGTTTCGAGTGCTTGAAAGCGACTGGTCCCTGCGCTTTCGTTTCTCTTCGTTTTCCCGTGTAATTTTGCAGTTGTTCGCCTCGCGTTTTGCTCGATCGTGCTGGAGATAGAGGGTGGAGTAGGAGGGGCAGTAAGGTAATAATATTATCGATAGTGTATACACGCGAGATTTCGCGCGATTGTCTCTACGTGTGTATAATGAGCTAAATGTCGTGCCGGAACGGCGCCGCGCCCCGCGACGCTCTTCCGATTCTCATCAGAGGGAGAGGTAAGTATGGGGAAGCGAACGCTGGATCGGAGGAGTCGCGCGGAGAAAGGTCGCGCGCGAGAGGAAGTGGAATTGAAATATCAGGCGCGGGATTCGCTCGTAAACGGAACGCGTCCGCCGATTTTCCGGATTACGAAAGAAGAGCGGGACGAGTGGCGAAGAGCAGGGACGGCGGGATACACAGTGGGACGAGGGTGGAAAATGTGCCGTCGTGAAGGAAGTCGTTTCCTCCAGACGACGCGCCGGCAGGTTCGAATAGCCGGAAGCGGGGCGACGATATCGTTCAGTGTTTCCGCGAGAGATACCCCTGTAACTCGGTGAAGGGTAAACGCCACGAAAAAAGGGGCAGATGAGAGAGGGTGTTTCGTACGTGCGTATCACCGCGAAGCTCCCTCACGACGCGAATCTTTATCCGGGGCGATGATAGGCGGCAAAGGGGAGTGGGATTTTTCGGGCGTTCGACGTGATGTGTCCCGGTCTTTTGCCTCCTCTGGTCTTCCGATGAAGAGGAGTTCTCCCGATGAAGATCGAAGGGGCGAAGTGGTGGACGGACGCGGGGGGGTTGATTTCCTTATCCAACGATCGATGCTTACAGCCGAGATACGCGCGGGATGATCAGCGCACGAGTTTCGCTCCGACTGCACGTGAATGCCGTAGGCATTACCACCAGCCTGGAAGTTAATTTACGCGATAAATAAAGCCGCGATTAACGCGTGTGCCGGGCCGCGTATGGCGCAGCGGCGATAATGAGAAAGAATGGAAATTACACGGTAATAAATTTTCAAAAGAAGAAAGTTAATTTAACGCGAGCACGTCCTCTCTCTCTCTCTCTCTCTCTCTCTCTCTCTCTCTCTCTCTCTCTCTCTCGACGGCCCTTCTCTTGCTCGCGGAAGGAAGGATAATTTATCAGCCGCGTGAAACGTGCTAATATATTCCGCAAATATTACTGATATATTAATGGCCGCGGTGAGCCGACTAGCGGTTAGCCGTTCATTCGTTTATTCGCTTCAAAAGAAACCCGTATATAACGAAACGTGTAACGAAAGCCACGTGCATCGTGCGCAATTTCGCGTTCGTTATCGACACACACACACACACACACACACACACACATATACACATATGCACAAACGACAATTCGTGTTGCGCTTTGGGAACTCAAAAGGCCGCTCGTATTCTCCCGTTCTCTTTTGGCCGTGCACTGACTTTCACCGGTTCGCTCTTTCGATCGTGCAATTGTCCTATTGGCCTTATCTCGATAACGAGATTTTCGATAAGATGACTGGTAATAAATGACATCTTACCTCCGCCACCGCCGCCGTATCCACCGCTTCCACCGCCGCCGTATCCGCCGCTTCCACCGCCACCAAATTTCCAGCCACCGCCGCCGAATCCGCCATTTCCACCGCCGCCGCCGAATTTCCAGCCGCCGCTGCCGCCACCGAGGCCACCACCGCCGCTCCAGCCGCCGCCTCCACCGCCCAATTTCCACCCTCCGCCGCCGCCGCCGTATCCGCCACCACCGCCGCCTCCGTAACCACCGCTACCGCCGCTAAGCGTGATGACCTTGATGATGAAAATAAAAATAATAAGTTAGGCAAGTGAAAGCTAACGCCGGTCGACAGACACATCGAATAACGTCGATGAACAGGCACAATTATAAAGAATTTATTAAGATATTTACAAACGTTTCTGTCCCATCTTTAGGGGGACCCTCCTCCAGTGTAAATAAATAAAAATTTCGCAGTGAAAAAAAAATTTCACAATGAAAGAAACGGTGTCTTTAAGAAGAAATGGATCCCGATGCAAAGATTCAAAAACAAAAAAGTGTGAAAATTACCAAAAGATCACACTTCTTAGCCAAGAGTCAACATCAGATGGAATGTAAAATAATACAAAGCATGCTCTCGCAACTCTCAATATGAAGTGAAATTACCTAACTTCTTATTTTTCTTTTGATTTGTATAAGCTTTGTATAAGCTTAGTTTATATTTAATTGACCTTGATAATTTTTCCGCCGCCGCCGCCGCCGCCACCTCCGTAACCGCCGCCGCCGCCTCCGTGACCGCCGCCGCCGCCGCCGTATCCGCCGCCGCCGCCGCCGCCGCCTAATTTCCAACCTCCACTGCCGCCATAACCACCACTACCGCCGCCATATCCGCCACCACCGCCGTATCCTCCGCCGCTGCCGCCGCTGCCGCCGAATCCTCCGCCGCTGCTTATGTAACCGCCTATAATTTTGAATTGACGTACGAGCCGATTATTTTTCGCCGCACCCGAGAATTCCAGATCGGCCGTCCAGGCGGCGCGCTCTGGCCCGACGATGATGTTCGACGCAGCGCACCGGCGAATGTGCTTTGCGTAACCGCGCTGTAATTTACAGTGGACGATGGGAGAAGAGCGCGTGTGTTCGTACGATGCGCGATTTATCGACTTTCTTTTGTGCCGTGGCGGCTGCGAGCGGAGCCGGTACCAGGTGGTAGCGCTCTCGCTCGCGTTGCTCCGCAAATTACTACGAGGTATTCTACGATTGCTACAAGAAAGAGACCGGTTGCGCGCTCCGCCGATTGTGCAAGCCGTCTCAAAAGGGCAGCGCGGGCAGGAGTACAAATTACCGGCGGATTAAATCTCACGAGATCATTTAATATCACTGACCGCCAAGCTGTTTGCGGCCGCGTGAAAAATCGCACGGATTCGCTGGGTTAGGAAGACGGAGAGAGGGGAGAGGAGCGGAATAATCCGCGGAATTGAATGTGCACGCGTCTCGGTTGTTACTTCGGACGGTAGCTTCCGCTACAGTCGTGAGCTTGTTATCCCGAGCGAGAGCTCCCGCCTCGTAACACAATGGTATTAGTGACAGTAATTAATTTGTTTAGAATCATGCGCGACAAATCTGCCGGCTTCATACACAAATTAATTAACGGATTAATTACACGTGATTCCAAGTACGAGAAGATCAGCAATATTGCACCGCAGCTGCGACGATACGTGCGTTCGATATTCCATCGGTAAATTAATCCTATGTCGCGACATCACGGGCCGTGTTTCCACGGAACCACGTTAGAATTAAAAGCCGAAGCAAACTCTAATTCTTTTCCTTTCTTTTTCTTTTTAATTCGATGTAACCTCGGTGTTGTTCGATCGATAGCAGACCGCGCGCGGTAGTACAGTACCGCGGGATTCGTCGGCGCACTGGCGAACCGTTGGGCGCGCTCGCGATCAATCGCAATCAACCACTTGGCGGCTCCGAGACTCTCGCGGGGGTTGAAAACGTCGCGAACACTTGACACACGCGAGCGAGTGAGCGAGCGAGCGCGCGACAACCCTCTACCACCCCCTGCCCCCTCCTCTCCCCTCCCGTCGTTATCCGCGGCCGTCTTTAGCCACGTACGATCACCGTAAGCCCGCCATTGTACTCACCATATGCGGTGGCAACGAACGCCAGCACGAGCGTGACTACGAACACCTGCAACGAGACAACGAAAGCGGGCGTGAGCGTTTGGATAATCGCTGGTTCGATCCGCGAGAGTAAGCCGGTGCCTCGGGAGATCGTTCGATACAACTACCAGTACTATAATATACCGTGAGTGCGTGCCCGCGCACGCACTCGCACTCGCGATCGGTTCCGATTCTACGTACCTTCATGTCGGAGGTGTTTTGATGCCCATCGTCAGGCCAGCCGGCTCTTTTATAGCTCGTGCCTTTCTTCGCGGTGGCCCCCGCCCTGCCCTTCCGCCTCTCCTTCCCTGCGTGTTCTTCTTCTGGTTCACGAAACCGCGACTTTCGTGCCCACCACCGCGACCCACCACCACCGTCGACGTCGACGTCGTCGTCGTCGTCGTCGTCGTCGTCGTCGTCGTCACCGCCATCACCCACCACCGCGAGATCGGCACCGGCTACGAAAATTCCTGTCGCCGTTCCGGACCGCCGACTTCCATTCACTCCCTCCGCGCGACTCCAGGCGACGCGGGAGGGACGTGGGGTAATCTTGACAGTCGAGCGAGTCCGCGATCGTGCCGCGAGATCGAGAGAGTTCCTCTCCTCGGGGTCACGGGATTCTCGCGCCTCTCCGCGACATTCGCGACACTCGGACGACGGGGGATGGTGTGGAAACGCGACGCGCGGCGACCTCGTTGGCGGGAAACGCGGTGATTCATCGGCGGAGATAATCGCGACGTACGCGGAATAATCGTCCGTGTGTTCGTCAGAGAGAGAGAGAGAGAGAGAGAGAGAGAGAGAGAGAGAGGGAGGAGAAAGAGAGAGAGGGAGGAGAAAGAGAGCGAAAGTGCGAGAGAGAGAGAGAGAGAGAGCGCGCAGGAGGTGAGCCGACGGGCGCGCGACGATTGCGCACAGGAGTCCTTTTACGACGCTGCGACGATAATTATCGCGACGACGAATCGCGCGCGCATCCGTCCGCTCGCTGGACCGGAAACGCCGGGCCAAGCCAGGTCAGGCCAGACTCGGCTCTCGCTTCGTCAGTCCGGACACGCGCGCCGGTGACTCTTTCTTTGATATTATCCCAGCTGCGTCCCGCTGGTACTTCGGGCTCTCACCGAGTGAGCAAATCACAATTATACCAGGTGTTTCGAAAATGGAACTGCCGGATCAAATACTCGCAATCTGAGGTCAACTTTCTTCGCGTGTGCCTCGGAGTTTGGATGGCCGCATTCGACGCGCGTAAAGTCGTCCGTTTGCGTTTCTAGCTCGCCTCATTCTACGGTAGTTTCCGAGAGGTTTCGCAGAGTGAGTAAATCCCGACTTATACGTGATTCCGCTTCCTCTTCGTGTATCTCTTCGCAGAACATCGGGATTGAGAAACAAGAGTAGAAAAAGTACCAACAGTAGAAACTTGTTGTGATATAAAAATATATATAAGAAAAAAAAGATCTCACTCGACATGGTTTTTAGAAGTCGATCGCGAAAGCGGACATGATTTTTGCAGGAAAGGAAAGTCTCTCTCTCTCTCTCTCTCTCTCTCTCCCTTTCTCGCTCTAGGGAGTTGGCTAATGCGCGCGTAGACACGCCGCGGTTGCCGCGGCGGAGCGCGCGAAATTGTGCAAGTTCCATACAAGGAGATAAACATCTCCGAGTCATTTTTATCTCCGGGCGATCACTTGGCAGCGTGCGCTCGCCGGGACCACGCAATTATTATTAGAGACCACGTAAATGAATTGCTATTCCCGATAATCCCTCTTGGCGCAACAACCTATCGCCCGCCGATCGCCGCGATTTCGCCAGGGAACGCGTTCTCGATGACGTCGTGTGTCAAATCGTAAAGCAACATCAGATACGAGCTCTCATATCGATGAAACTTGGTCGAAGGGAAAGATCGTATTAACAGGCATCCACACCGTCCGTGGCGAAAAGTAAGGACACCGTTAGACTATCGAATAGATATCGAGTGACGAGATATGATCGAAATAGCTCGTATGAAGTATACAGGGAGATAATATTTAACGAGCCGCAGTCGTCTAAAATTATCTGTGAAACGACAATGACGATAATAATAATCGTGTCGGAAGTCTCGTCGGTAAAAATTAATTCATTAATACGCGAGTGAAGATAAAAGTAGACGGTAAGGATAAAATGAAATAAATAAAAGTCGACGGTGGGGATAAGATAAGATGTAGGACGGCAAGAATAACGGTGACGCCGGAGTATATATACCGCGTTCTACGTCAAGTCATAATTGATAGTATATATCGACATCGTATAAGCTATAACTCTACGGCGCGAAAGAAGACCTTCTTCTCTTTCAGCTTTTAATCACCACGCCACGTCCAAGAGAGCATTCGTTTAATCGCGTACAAAGCGATGATGCACCGGCGATGATGGATCATCGGCTCAATGACGATCCTTCCTCGCAAAGCGTCATCTCGCGAGATTACCGTTCGCGCTTTACTCTCGATCGCAGCCGCACGAAAAGCAGCTCCAGACGCTCTCGAGAAGGCGAAGGCCTGCCTGGCCTTTCACCGTCCCGACGTCCGCTCGGACTAGCTGACCTCTTCGCGCTCGGTCAGCCCATCGAATCGCGCGATGATCGATATGAGTGATTTGCGTAGACAATGCTGCTCATTGATGGTACAGCGCGTCAAGGCCGAATAACCTGTTAAGAGTAACCCAACAGAGTCATCATAGTGTCGCGAAGGACAGCCCGAAGAAGCGACGATTTCGCAAAGTCACTCGTTAATTCGTAAAAACTTTGAAACTTTGAAACGCTTTGAAACGTTCCGGTATCGACGACAAACCTTAGAGCAGAATTCTACCCGCGATTTCATGCACCGAATGGCGCAGGAAACATTTGAATCGTACATGTATATGCATGCGTTTGATATATATGCGCGTGTGCGCAAAAATGTAATGTGCGAGTTTCTTACGAATCAAACTTCATATCTCGAGTCGTACCGCGAGTTTACTATATAGGCTATTTATTTAAGGTAAGCTCTCTGTCTTTCGAAATTACTAATGCATGAAATTACGTACGCACGAGTATCGCGGATACTTGCGAGTCGACAGAGTGCAAACTCGACGCAGAAATGCCTCTCGAGATAATCGACGCGTTCGTTCGTTCGTTCGTTGCATACATTTTCGCGAATTCGACGGATCAATTTCGATCGTTCGGAGCCGCTCGCTCGCTGCATCCCGAGCCTGCATCCGGAATTGCTAACTATCCCTTCGACGATGACCACAGCCAGTAATCGACCGGTAGGAGCGGGTTGACCTCCAGAAATGCGGAATCGTTGGCCGACCTATCGAACCTGATTCCCGCGCGCAGCGGTGAAAGTTAAAAACTGTATTATGACGCCGAACAGTCTCAGTATAAATTACGATATGACGATTAGAGAGAGCCTTCCTGCGAGTGCAGCTCTGCTCACTTCGTACGCGCGGATAAGAAATTCCACGGGACTATAAAGAGGCACGTATTGCCTAATAGCCTGCACGGCGCGTCGGAAACGCTGCGATGTGGAATCCCGAGCTCGCGGAAAGCGCAGAAAAGTGCGGTAATCGAAGAGTCATTTCTCACGAACGCGATAAGAACTCTATTTATTTGTATGTACAACGAGAGCTCCTCCCTCTTCCCCTCAGCCCTCTTTCCTTCTTCGCGTCGAGTCTTCGAGTTCGCGTAACCGCCGAGACTTTGATCTTGATCATCAGTAGGAGGACTGAAGTGCGTCCATTGACATACTTTGCCTTCTAGACGACGCTCTGCTCTCCCGAGAGAGTGTGTGCGTTGCGTAACGATAATTAGATAAATCAAGTCTCGCTATAGAGGCCGAACCTGATTTTCCCCGGTCGCGAGCACGTTTTCCTCGCATATGCACGTGTACGACGGAATAAATGGTCAACATTATTGACCGAAGGAGTTGTGTGTACGTCCGTCGGCACGTTGCAAAATACTCGCGCGCGCGACATGGAAAGGGTGATGGAATCTCTCTCAAGCCAGCCGCGGGATGCCACGAGTACGTGACGTAATATTACGTGCCTCACGGTCAGAAGGTGAAAACGCACGGTCGGCGTCTGTGCTGGCGGGATTTTCCCGCCGGAAAAGCCGTACTAGTGCATCGTCGTCGAGCGAATTTGTCGAGCAAGTCGATCGACTGGTTATCCAGTTGTGCTGCTGCCGTTGTTGCTGTTGCTGCCATGGCTGCTACTGCTACTGGATTCTCAGTGCCGGATCCGATGTTACGCGGCGCGGAATATAGATGTATGATCCGAGAAGTGCCTCGAATCGCGCCGTCTTCTTCGCTTTAAAAGCGGCAGTCTCCACGGGCGCGGCGAAAGGAGATTTCTCATTAGAGGGAATTTCATGGAAGACCCAACAACGAAGTTACTCGACGGGAAAACACCGAGGAGCCGTGGGTCGAGTTTTAATCTCGGCGTTTAATTCCACAAATTCTCAAAAAAATTGTTTTCGCGAAATAAAAGGTCCCATTTGAAATTTAATATGTGCCAGCTCGGCAAGTAATTGTTACGCAACGTCGAAATTACGAAGAAGTCTCGTTTAGTGGCCGAAATATGAAACGTAGTGAGCGTTTTCAAAATTTTAATTACTAACACCATTTCAGGTCTCTGTATTACGCTCTCTTCCATCCTCCTTCCTCCCCCTCTCTCTCTCTCTCTCTCTCTCTCTCTCTCTCTCTCTCTCTCTCTCTCTCGTACGCTTTTGTAGCAAATGCATATTAAAAGCGCACACGTCGAATGCAGATGCGAGCATCGCATGTGCGGATAGCGTGCGCGTGCCCATTGGAACGCTTTCTCGTTCGCATATTTATCGGCGATCATCGATCTACGCGGAGAGGGAGATGGGAGCGGTATGATCCAGTGATTTGTGTAGCTCTAGTTAGAAGTTATTCAAATACATAACGAAGCGCGTACAGCTGACGGACAATGCGGGAGAAGTTGCCGTGGAAATACAGTGTTACAGAGAGAGAGAGAGAGAGAGAGAGAGAGAGAGAGAGAGAGAGAGAGAGAGAGAGAGAGAGAGAGAGAGAGAGAGAGACCGAATAATACTGGCATAAAGTCGGCAGACCGAGCTCGCATTTACGGTTGGCTACTACGCGCGAATCGACCAATTCCTGTTTTTTAGTATAGTCGTAATTTTGGATACCATGTAAGAGACGACAACGACGACGTCGTCGACGAGGACAACGCAACGCCGACGACGACGACCAGTGTAAACGTCTCTCGGGAATATCGTTATCTTCTCTCGGAAATTCTGCCGATATCACGACGCTGGCAAGATTCACGGAATTATGTATCATTAACATTGCGAACGCGTAATACGTATTAACATTTCCTACACGCGTTTGGGTATTCCCTCCTCTCTCCCTCTCTCTCTCTCTCTCTCTCTCTCTCTCTCTCTCTCTC